GGCAGGGGCTGGCCAGAAGGAAGGTGGGGGAGGGGACCCAAGGGTCTGTGTGCAGCACAGACGTAGTCCTGTCTAGGAGCTGTCAGCCAAGGCCGGGAGGGGCTGTGGGAGGCCACATGCACCCGCTAGGGCTAGCAGCGTGGGCCTGGAGCTAAGGCAGAGAGACAAGGAGGGCCAGACCAAAGGAGGAGGTGGGGGTCTGAGATGAGGACAGCGCCCAGAGACTGAGAGCTGGTGATCTGGAGACAGCCCCTCTGCCATCAGGACACTCCCTGGCCCACAACCTTCCCCTTTCTGTGACTGGACCCTGGACTCTCAACTCCTTTGCATACCGTGCCCCCCCTTCCTGGGCCAGTCCATGGGGAGGGAGTGCAGTGGACAACCTGTGGGACCTTGTGGCAGAGCTGCCGTGCCGTCTCCATGGAAGAAGCTGTGGGCTGTGCTGCCACCAGAGGTCTGCCACTTAGAAACTGATGGCTCCACCCGCCTCTGTCTGCCTGGCCCAGGGACTGTCTCCTGGGCAACACTGCGCTCTGACCAGCAGTCAGGACTGACCCAGGCTGTGCAAGTGTCCTCCTCCTGCCAGTCTGGCCGGTCTGTTCCCTGCAGAGTATCCCTGAGACCCAGACAACTTCCACCCATGTCCCTTTGTCACCCTGACTCTGCACAGCCACCTTGAGAGTTTGTGTGCCAAGGAACCACCACCCTCGCCAGCTGGGTATTCATTCTGCCCTGTGTGGGGTGGGCTCGGTGCCATGTAGCATATGTCTGTGTGTGTCTGTTGTAGGTACCAGGTAGGGACGCTGCCCCAGCCCCTCCGAGAGTCAGAAGCATCCAAGAGTCATTCATTCACTGAACACCCACCAGGTGTTCTATAAGCACCTACTGTGCTTTGACACAGGGTTCAGTTCTGTATGAATCTTGGCTGTCATTTACTTGTTGTGTGCCCTTAGCCAAGTCACTTTCCTTCTCTGAGCTTCCGGTACCTAATCATTAAATGGGGACAACAACACTTAGCTCATATGGGTTTCTTGGAGACTCAAAAGAGAAAATAGATCAAAAGCACCTATCACAGGACTTGGTACAAAGTGGGGATGTTTGATAGTGTTTGCTTTCCTTCCTCCCATCTCAAATCTCGCTGCAAATCTCCTTCTGCAAATCTCGCTGGGCTCTGGGGATGCCAAGAGGGAAACAGGAATCCTGGTCACAAGGAGTTCATGGTCCCATGGGTGAGGCTGAGCTTCAGAGAGACCATAATGGTGCCTGACAGTCAGGGCTCCGCCAAGGTGGTGCTGAATGCTGAGCGACACGAGTGAGGAGCTCATAATATGGGTACCCCACGTCTACCATGCCTTCTTTAGCCTTTCAACTGAAGCGTATACGCAAAACTGGCTGTGTCAGCAAGAGCTGATTCCAGCATCTTCTTGGTTTGAATTAGGAAGAGGTTGAGTACTTTCAGATTTCTACAAATACTAATATATGCCTCCCATCTGCCTTTTCCACACCACTAGGAACCAGGAAGTTTTTCTTTTCTTCTTCTTTTTTTTTTTTTTTTTTGAGACAGAGTCTCGCTTTGTCACCCAGGCTGGAGTGCAGCGGTGCAATCTCAGCCATTTGCGATTCTCCTACCTCAGCCTCTTGAGTAGCTGGGACTACAGGCGCCCGCCACCACACCCGGCTGATTTTTGTATTTTTAGTAGAGATGGGAGTTTCACCATGTGGCCAGGCTAGTCTCAAACTCCTGACCTTGTGATCCACCCGCCTCAGCCTCCCGAAGTGTTGGGATTACAGGCATGAGCCCCAGGGCCTAGACTTTTTTTTTTTGAGATGGAGTCTCGCTCTGTTGTCCAGGCTAGAGTACAGTGTGATCTCAGCTCACTGCAACCTCCGCCTCCTGGGTTCAAGCAATTCTCCTACCTCAGCCTCCCGAGTAGCTGGGATTACAGGTGCCCACCACGATGCCCAGCTAATTTTTGTGTTTTTAGGAGAGATGTGGTTTCACCATGTTGGTCAGGCTGGTCTCGAACTCCTGACCTCAGGTGATCCACCCACTTCAGCCTCCCAAAGTGCTGGGATTACAGGTGTGAGTCACTGCACCTGGATGGGACAGAGGAATCTTGCACCCAGCCCACTTCAGGGTTCCTCCACCTCCAGTGATTTGTGATAAGAGCACAGGTCTAGAGTCGGGCTGTCTTGCTGGGTTCTCCCCCTTCATCTAGTGCCTTTCTATTCACAGTGTGGTCCATGGACTTTCAGCCTTGTCCAACCCCCTCCCCACATCTGTTCTATCAGAATCTGCACTTTAAAAAGATCCCCCTGATTCATGTGCATAATAGCGTTTGAGAAGCCCTGAGCTTGAACATCTTGGGAAACCAGCTGAATTCTCTGAGCCTCCATTTCTTTCTCTGCAGAATGGGGAGATAATAATACCCACCTCACAGGGTAGTTGTGAGGATTCATCCAGATAGACCATGTGAAGCGTTTAGCACAGTGCATGGGGCATACTAAGCGCTCCTGAGCTGTCCGTGACACCCACTCCTGCCCCACAGATGGACACATAATAGGGAGGAGGGCAGGGGTGATACCAATGGGGTCAAGAACTTGAACCTGGAAGCTGGTAAAGGTGTGTGTGGGGTGTTAGGAAAGGAGAAGACTCGGGGGACAGGTGAGGAATTGAAGGGAAGCCGATATGGAGAAGAAAGGGTGAGGAAGGTCAAGAGGAACGGTGCAGAAGCCGAAGGGGAATGGGAGAAGAGAAGGGGACGGGCCTGGGGCCCATTCCTGTTTCATCTACCTGGATGGGGCTGGGGCAGGAGCTGGGTCCTGAGGTAGGGTAGGCTTGGGGTGGGGGTACAAGCAATGGTTTGCAGGAGCAGCTGGAGCCTTGCCCCTGGCCCCTGGACGAGGTGCACCTCTCCTTCTTCCCAGCTGTGTGACTTTGAATGTCACTTCACTTCTCTGAGCTGTGATGTCCTCATCTGCAGTAGTCCGGATAACTACACCTAGCTGGTACTGAGGGGATGTGGGCAGCGGTAGACGGCATCATGTTCTGTAAACTCAGGGTGCTTTGTTTGTGGTGCACACGTTTTTGTTTCGGGAACGGGAGGCAGGGTGGTTGAGTGATAGAAGAACTGTGGGAGAGAGAAGGATCAGGGCTGCAGCTCCCAGAGCACCGCAGCAGGGTGGTCTAGTTCTCAGGGATGGGGACCCCTAGGAGGTCTCGGGAGGACTCTCAGTTGGTTCGCTGCTCTCCACCCGGCCCCTCTCCCTTCTGCACTCCCCCTGTGAAACCAGGCATTCAGGATCTCTTTTTCCTTCCACACTGCTTCCTGCTATTTCTCCCAGCTTTTACCAGTGGAAAATGTTCCCAAGGAGAGGGGAGGGGGAGCGGGAGAGAGTGATTGAGTGCTCCGACCCCTTGCCCCCAGGGAAGGTGCTGCCTGTGATGGGTTTGACCCAGGGGCTCGGCTCTGTTGGGGAAGCCTGGCAGCGGGGAACTAGAACCCGCCTCTCCCTCAGCCTCTTCTCCACCCCAGCCGCTGCGCAGCTGCTGGCGGCAGCTAAATCCCCAGCAGGAGCCTGGGCCTCCATCTCCGGGGCGCCAGCGCCATCTGCTGTCCATGCAGGAGAACTCTCCGCAGAGGAAAAGGGTGCCTGGCTTCTGTGCTGCAGAGACAGCTTATTAAGTGTCCCTTGTGCCCCGCACTGGGCCAGAGGCTGAGGACACCAGACAGGCTCACTGCTTCTGTGCAGCATACACGCTCATTGAGGGAGATGGACAATGGACAGGAGACAAGTAGATGAACAAGATCATCTCAGGTCTTGATAAGTACTTTGGGCAAACCAACAGACATGTGGATGCAAGGACGGTGACACTGAACGTGTCTGTGTGATGTATGAGTGTGACATGCTGAGGCTTCAGCGATGGGCAGCTAGCCATACCAAGAGTGTGTGTGCAGTGGCATTCCAGGAGAGGGGACAACAACAACAAAAGCCTGAGGAGGAAAGGAGTCCGGGTGTCTGAACTTGTCAGATATGGGGGAGGTGGTGGAAAGGCAGGCAAGGGCCACATCACATGGGCACTTTTGGGTTAGGGAAGGAGCGTGATTTTGTTATGTGGGAAATGGGAAGCTATTGTTGGGTAAGTCAGTGAGTGGTTTCATTGGATCTGAGCACTGTGGACTGGGCACCATAGCTTCCGGTAGGGAGGGGCAAGGGTGGACCAAGGTGGGAGACCAGTTAGAAGGAGATGGCAAAATGGGAGTTGCTAGAGAAGGAAGGAAAGTGGATGGATTCTAAATACATTTCAGAAGTGGCCTGGAGGCTGGATGCGGTGGCTCCTGCTTGTAATCCCAGCACTTTGGGAAGCCAAAAGGAGAAGGATTGCTTGGGCCCAAGAGTTCAAGACCAGCCTGGGCAACATGGCAAGACCCTGTCTCTACAAAAATAAAATAAAAAAAGAAAAACTTAGCTAGGCTTGGTGGCATATGCTTGCAATCCCAGCTGCTTGTCAGGCTGAAGCAGGAGGATGGCTTGAGCCTGGAAAGTTGAGGCTGCTGTGAGCTGAGATCGTGCCACTGCATACCAGCCTGGGCAACAGAGCAAGACCATATCTTAAAAAAAAAAAAAAAAGAAAAAGAAAGAAAGAAAAAGAAGCAGGGATGATGGAAGGGGAGATTTAAAAATTCCGACTTGAGAAACTGGATGGATATAGTGGGGTGATTTACTAGGGAGGAGGAGGATGGTGTGGGGCAGGCAGCGTTTGGGAAGGTGTTGATGTGCTGATATGTTAAGTTGGAGATGCCTTTTAATCATCTAAGGGAGGCCATCAGTGGAAAAGTTGGCGCTCATTGGAGAGACTGGGCTGTACATTGCTTGCTAGGATATGGGACTGGAGTGTCCAAGCAGATCTAGTGGCCCTTGGCAGGGAGCAGGGAACTTTGGAGTTGCCTTGGCCACTCCTTTCATCTCCCCTCCTGCTCTCTCACCCCACCTCCCAGGTCTATACTCGCTATGGGAAGTGTTACACCTTCAACGCGGACCCGCGGAGCTCGCTGCCCAGCCGGGCAGGGGGCATGGGCAGTGGCCTGGAGATCATGCTGGACATCCAGCAGGAGGAGTACCTACCCATCTGGAGGGAGACAAGTACGCAGGCCGGAAAGGGACAAGGGCCATCTTGGGGACTGGGGCCTGGGCCCTTTGCCTGGGATGGGTTTCCAAAGGTCCCCATCTCTGCTGTGCAGATGAGACGTCGTTTGAGGCAGGTATTCGGGTGCAGATCCACAGCCAGGAGGAGCCGCCCTACATCCACCAGCTGGGGTTCGGGGTGTCCCCAGGCTTCCAGACCTTTGTGTCCTGCCAGGAACAGCGGGTGAGCACCTCCTGCCAGGCCCTGGATTGGGCACAGGGCTCACCTTTGGGCTCAGAGGGGATGCAGAGCAAACCTGCCCTTTAGAAGCTCACAGCCTGCCAGCTGTATTGACTTTGCTGGGGCTGTGGGCACTGGAGGACCGGGTGGGATTCCTGAGCATGACCTCATCATGACCCACCTCTGCAGCTGACCTACCTGCCCCAGCCCTGGGGCAACTGCCGCGCGGAGAGTGAGCTCAGGGAGCCTGAGCTTCAGGGCTACTCGGCCTACAGTGTGTCTGCCTGCCGGCTGCGCTGTGAAAAGGAGGCTGTGCTTCAGCGCTGCCACTGCCGGATGGTGCACATGCCAGGTGGGCACCCCACCCCTAGCTAGCCCTCCATGCCACTCTGCTGGGCTCCAGAGCCTCCTGGGGCAAGGCACTGCTCATGTTCACAGGCAGGCGCATGTATACAACATATGTGTGTGTCTGTAGCCATGTGAGTGTGCATGTGTGTGTTTGGGACTTTTAAACATGGTTTCACATATGCCTGTGGGAATGCTGGCATGCAGATGCCTGTGTGCATGTTGATATGTATTTGTGTACATGTATGCTCATTTATATCCATGGTTGCATATTTGTGGGGGTCGTGTGTGTGGTGTTCAAGCACATTTATGCAAATGTGTGCATATGTGTGTGCATGCATGTATGTGCTTACATTTGGGCGTGTGGGGGACAGGGGAAGTGATCGTAGATTCTAGGAATAATCTTCTCTCCTTTCAGGCAATGAGACCATCTGCCCACCAAATATCTACATCGAGTGTGCCGACCACACACTGGGTCCGTGCTGCCTACCCTTCCCTACCTCTCCATCAGCCTCTTCATGTCTCTGTCCACTCTTCTCCTCACTGTCTTGGCTCCTCCCCTCCCAATCTCTTCCTGGAGGTTTCTTCCTGGGGGTTGAGCCTTAGCCCATACTTCAGTGGGGTCGGGGAGAGGTCTGCAGACCTCTGCAGGTACAGACACTTGGGTAAGTGGAGGCAGCAGGGTGGGGGGGTTGCAGAGAAGCCAGGACTGGGAGTGAAGGGCTGGGCTTCTCATCTTGGTTCAACCAATGAGCTCACCCACTTTGAGAAAGTGAAATGACTTCTCTCTTGGTCTCAGGAAAAATGCATTGCTGGTTATCGGTGTGGGTAAGGCAAACCCCATCTGTCCACAGATCTTGCCTGATCTGCAGTTCATCCATCTATCCATCCATTCATCGATTCGTGCATTTTCCAGACCTTTACAGCCTGTGCTGGGTACTGGAGGTGAGAGTGGGGGCAACAGCCCTTCCCTTGGAGAGCTTATAGCCCGGCACGGCTGTGGGCAGCCATTCCCACACAGCCCGTTAACTCCTGGAGAGGGGAGCCTCGGGTGTGTGGCAAGGCCCCAAGGAGGGGTGTGCAGCCCTAGCCTGGGAAGGTAGGGAGGATTCCTAGAGGAAGGGACACATTAGCTGAGGCTTGATGGCTGTATAAGAGCCAGGTGCAAAGGGGGACATACACTAAAGACCTGTGGCCAGAAAGAGCATGCTGTGTCCAGGGCACTGGAAGATCTGTGTGGCTGCAGGGCAGAGAACAGGGGAGGGAGTGGAAAGAGTGGAGGAGGGAGGCCAGGCACAGTGGCTCACACCTGTAGACCCAGCACTTTGGGAGGCCAGGCTGTGTGGATCACTTGAGCCCAGTAGTTCAAGACCAGCCTGGGTAACATGGTGAGACCCTGTCTCTGCAAAAAATAAAAAAGTGAACTGGGTGTGGTGGTGCACATCTATAGTCCCACCTATTTGGGAGGCTAAGGCAAGAGGATAGGCTCGAGCCTGGGAGGTCCAGGCTGCAATGAGCTGGGATCACACCATTGCACTCTAATCTGAGCTATGGAGTTACCCTGTCTCAAAAAAAAAAAAAAAAAAAAAAAATTGAGGAGGGAGGCTCTAGGAAGCCCACAGAGGCCTCTGGCAAGGCAGGAATGCCAGGTGAGTCCAATGAGGTGTGGACAATGGGTAGGAGGGGAGGAGACTCAAAGTCAGGGACTGGCCAAGCTGGCTGCAGTAATCCAGACACCTGGGGCCTTGGGGCTGGGTTTGAGACACTGGGCAGCCAGACACACATCTAGCCCTTCTCTGTCCCCCACACCACCTGCATCTGTCACAGGGGTGATTGGAGGTGTTTAGTGAAGGAACAGATGTGTGATCAGGAGTAAAGAACCTGCAAGGCACAGCGGGAAACCACGGAGCTGGCAACATGGGGAGCCTTCATCCCCACCAGGCCTGCAGGAGGAGAGACCTGTGGCTGTCTGAGAGGGCTGACTCACAGCAGCATGGCTGGAGGAGCAGCACAGCCTCTGCCACCTACGGCCTGGCAGTGAGGAAGCCAGGCGGGAGAAATACCCTGGCATCTCTTCCCTCTCACCTTCTGTTTCTGCCAGGGCCTCCTGTTGGCCAAACTCAACCCAAAGCCAGAGGACAAGGGAGTTGAGGTGATCCATTTGGCAGAGATCAGCCTCGTAGGGTGCAGAGCAAGGTGGAAGAGTGGAGAGTGGAACTGAAGGGGCAGGCAGAGAAAGCCCAGCGCATTGAGCCTGGGAAGCTTGTTGGTCCATTTGTTCTTCTGTTCACCCATCCATCGATCTGGCCATCTGCCATCCATCCATCCATCCATCCATCCATCCATCCATCCATCCATCCATCCGTCCACCCATCCATGCATCCCAGCATCCTCTCCACACCTCCTTGTGTGTCTGAGGCCTCACATAGTTGATTAGCTTTGGTGGATGGGCTCTGTTCTCCCTCTGGGCCATGAGGACCCCTCCAGTCCCGGGGGTTGGGAGGGTGCTGGGGGGTTCTGCGTACACCTGCTCTCTGGAGCAGTCTGAAGCTGGTTCAGGCAGGGACCTGCAGCCAGTCCCCTCTAGGAAGCACCAGGGCTGGCCAGTAAAGGCCCTTGGTGTGGATTTGCCTGCTTCAGGACAGCCCCCCGGCCTCCTCTTTGCAGCTGGTGGGCCACTGGACCACCCTTCTCCAACTCCCATTGTAGCTGCTGCCTCTGTGTTGCAGATTCCCTGGGTGGGGGCCCCGAGGGCCCTTGCTTCTGCCCCACACCCTGCAACCTGACGCGCTACGGGAAAGAGATCTCCATGGTCAGGATCCCCAACAGGGGCTCAGCCCGGTACCTGGCGAGGAAGTACAACCGCAATGAGACCTACATACGGTATGTGTGTCTGTGGGGTGTGGCTGTGTGACTCTGTGTGTGTGTACGTGTGTGTGAGCATATGTGTGTATGTGTGTGTCTGTGGGTGTGGGTGTGTATGTGTGTGGGGTGTATGTGGGTGTGTACGTATGTGTGCACGCATGTTTGTGTGTATCTGTGTGGGGCATGTGTATGTGTGTGTTTCCTGTGGGTGTGTATGTGAGTGTATGTGTATGTGAGTGTGTGGTATGTGTGTGTGCATGCACACTTTGTGTGTATCTGTGAATGGGTATGTGTGTGAGAGAATGTGTGTCTCTCTGTGTGTGTGTGTGTGTGTGTGTGTGGTGGAGGCTGCCCTCAAGAGGTGCTGGGCATGGTGGAGGTGGGGAGTGGGCCGCATCTCTATGATAAGTCTTCTACCAGGAATGCCTTTCATAGCCCTTTACTACTACTACTACTACTTCTTCTTCTTCTTCTTTCTTCTTTTTTTTTTTTTTTTTTTTTTTTTTTTTTTTCTTTTTTTTTTTTTTTTCCCCGCCTGGGGGGGGGGGGACAATCTTGGCTCCCTGCATCCTCCCCCTCCCAGGTTCAAGTGATTCCCCTCCCTCAGCCTCGCAGGTAGCCTGGATTATGGGCCCCCCTACCCCAACCAGCTTTTTTTTTTTGTCTTTTTAGTAGAGATGAGGTTTCACCATGTTGGCCAGGCTGGTCTTGAACTCCTGACGTCAAGTGATCCACCATCCTTGGCCTCCCAAAGTGCTGAGATCATAGGTGTGAGCCACCGTGCCTGGCCACAGCCCTTTTCTTCTAAGCAGCCCCACTCATTGCTCAAGTCATGTTCAGTGTTTCCACCTCCAGGTCCAAACACCTTTCATCTGAGCTCCCAGCACCCGTACAGATCTCCGTCATTACACATATGCCACGTTTCCGAGTGCTTTGCTTATGCGTCTTTCTCCCCTTCTCTAAGGGAGAGGGACAGGATGAGACCGGAGAGAAACACAGTACCCTGCAGGGGAGGCAGGAGGGACTGCCCTGAGCCTTCGGTCTGGTCCCCTCCAGCCAGTCTACAGTTTCGGAGCATGGTCTGGGTGCCAAGCCCAGTGCTGAGTTCTGTGGGGACAGATGATTACGACACAAAATCCATGCCACAATTTGTCAATGAGCCCACGTTTGATAACGTAGGACTGATTCTCAGGCCTCAGTCAGGGAGGGAAGCCGGGGAGGTGTGAGCTCACCTCTTAGGGCCCTGGGTTTGGGTCTGTGAGAGGAGGCGATGGAGAGGTGTCCAGTGAGAGGACGTTGGGCAGAGGGGTGGTGTGGCACGGGGCAGTGGTGTGGTGTGGAGCCTGAGCCATAGGCAGCTGTGTGGAGGAAGGAGAAAAGACAGCGGCTGCGGAAGAAGGTGCCAGGGACAGGCCACCGGCTGCCCAGGACACTGAGAAGGGGCATTGTGGAGTGGACTGACAGGCAACAGGGGTCACTGAAGGGCCCGCAGAGGCATAAGGAGGAGGCAAAGGCAACACCACTGGCTGTTTTAGAGGAGGGAGCAGGGTTTCCTTCAGGTGCAGGAGTTGTGTTTTGCTCTCCCAGGCCCTTTGCTACCCCTCAAAAGATGAAGCTGACACACATCCGGGACTGCCTCCCCTCACAGCCCTGGGGAGTCCAGGGGGTGGTCACTGACTTCCCCATGCAGAGGTCTCTGATCAAGATCTGCTGGATCCAGGATGCCCCTGCCAGCCTTCTCAGGAAGCGAGGCCCACACGGATACCCTGCTTCCTGTCTCCACAGGGAGAACTTCCTGGTCCTAGACGTCTTCTTTGAGGCCCTGACCTCCGAAGCCATAGAGCAGCGAGCAGCCTATGGCCTGTCAGCCCTGCTGGGTGAGACTGGTGTCCCCCTCAGCTTGTGTGTGGGTGGATCGACCCGGCCGCTCCCTCTGACACTGCTCTCCTGCTTCCCAGGAGACCTCGGGGGACAGATGGGCTTGTTCATTGGGGCCAGCATCCTCACGTTGCTGGAGATCCTTGACTACATCTATGAGGCAAGGGCCCCGGGAAGGCAGGGTGGGAGTGGGGGCCATGGGCAAAGCAGAAGCGGGCAGTGCGGGGTGCCTGGTGGAGCTGGCCTGGCTGGGAAGTCAGGTTCAGGGTTCTCTGCCAGGGTCCCCTGACTGGCTGGCAGGCCTGAGGGCTCAGAGTCAGGAGAAGGGGATAGGTGAGGAGGACAGGGTGTCCTACTGGGAGTTTGCTGTGGCAGTGAGTCCTGTGGGCAGCTGGGCATGGTAAGGCTCACGTTTCTCCTCAACCAATTTCCTGAGCCCACTGCTGTCCCCCACCCTGAACCCCAAGGTGTCCTGGGATCGACTGAAGCGGGTATGGAGGCGTCCCAAGACCCCCCTGCGGACCTCCACTGGGGGCATCTCCACTTTGGGGCTTCAGGAGCTGAAGGAACAGGTGAGGATGAGCTCTACAGAGCATGCAGCCACCTCTCCAGGACTGATACCCCCATGGTTTCTGAACCAGCCTGTGGAGTGGGCCCTGGAGCCTCTGCCCAAGGTGACAAGGAAAGGCTGGCGGTGTGAGCCCTGGGGACAGCACTTGACTTCTCTCTGTCCCACTCTTTCTCGGCAGATTCCCTGCCCCCACGAGTTCTCCCTAGCCCACTCCCTCTTTTCTTTCTCCTGCAGAGTCCCTGCCCGAGCCGGGGCCATGCCGAGGGTGGGGGTGCCAGCAGCCTGCTCCCCAACCATCACCACCCCCACGGTCCCCCAGGAGGTCTCTTTGAAGATTTCGCTTGCTAGGATGGTGCTGTGACTGAAAGGATCCAGGAGTCTGAGACCCCTCCTGGGATCCCCAGCACATTCTCCTCCTGCTCCTGGGAAAGGCCTGGGGGCGGTGCTCACTGGGAGGGCCAGGACTCAGTTCCTGCTCTTATCCTCCCCTGCCCTGATGTCAGCTGCTTTGCACAAAGGTCCTTCTTGTCCACACCCCTTACCCCCAGGCTGGTGCCCCGGGAGGGCTGGAAACCAGGCCATGGGCCCTCATGGAGAGGAAGGGAAGGAAGGAGAGAGGGAGGGGAGGATAGAGCTCATCCCAGCCGGGGAGGGGGAGCCCTCTGTACATTTGTATATATTTAGGGAAAGCCGGGTGGGGGGATACAGATGTAGAAGGTGGGTGGGGCTACACGGGTGGGTGATTTAGGGACAGCCAGGGTCCCAGCCCTAATGTCAGCAGGAAAGGGAGAGCCCCAGGACTCAGGAGTGCTGGGCTGGTCCTGCTTCCTGCCCCTCTCCAGGCCCAGCTCCCCTCTTGGCAGGGGGAGAGGATGGCCCAGCAGGCCTGGCCCAGCTCCCAGTTCCCCCTGCACCAGCCCCACCCCTAGAGTCCCTCCTATAGGGAGGGGGCAGGAGACCTTCCAGACTTCTGCTGAGCTTGGAGGGTGGGAAGGGAGCCTTCTCAGGCCTCTCTCCCTCCAGTCTGATTTTGTAAAGTGCTGATGAGATTGGGAATAAAGAGGCATAAAGAATTCTCTGTGTGTATGTGTGACCAAGCACGCACTGGGGGCTGGGGTGAGGCTGGGCACATGCATGACTTGGTCCCGGGTGAAAGGAAAGGCAGGCCCCAGCAGGGGCAGGGGAGCCTGTGTGCTTAGCCAGTTCTCCCTCCCCCACGCCCGTCTACCCTTTCAAAACCTCTGAATCACGAGTCCACACTTGGCCAGTTTATTAAAGGCAGGGAGCTTCAGCAGGGTCCAAAAGGGAGAAGTTGGGAGATGCCCCTCCTCAGCTCCCTGCTTCCCTAACAACTCTTCTACAGCCCAGCCCCCAGGGCCCAGAGGCAGGGCTGGCGTCAGGCAGACTGTACTGCATAAATATGTGGAGGCCACAGCCCGAATCAGCAGCGTCAGGGGGCAAGGAAACTGGGTTTGGGGCAAGAAGTGGGTGGCTCTGGGGGCACCTCCCCCAGTGCTTGTCCAGAACCCAGGGACCCACAAAGCCAGAGAGGGGACCAGCGGGCCAGCTTGGGGTCTGGCTATGGCCAGCCCTGCCCAGCGAGGCTGGCAGGTGGCTCTGGTTTTGGGGGAGGAGTGGGGTGGGGTGTGGCCATGCCAAGGCCCACGGGGACAGGTGGGGTCAGGTGCTGTTGCCCTGCTCCTGCTCAAAGAGTAGCATGGCCAGCTGGGTTCGGGATCCGAGGCCCTCAAGCACACTCTGGCGGCAGCGGTGGTACAGGTCCTCACTGAGCCTCGCGCTGCATGTCTGGGCCCGGTAGCGCTGCAGCAGCGCCGGCTCCACTGCCCGCAGCACATGCAGACTGGAGAAGTGGAGGAACAGCTCGTACACGTCCAGGCTCTCCAGTAGCTCCTCTTCTTGTTCTGAGGCTGCCGCCAGGCGACCACGGGCTGCCACGTAGTCGGAGTTGTAGAAGCAGGCCTCGCTGGCTGCCTGGCGATCAAAGCGGCCAGTGTCACGGCCCAGCTCTGGGGGCCCAGGCCCTTGTGGTGGGGCCACCGCTGGGTGGAAGGCTTGGAAGTGCATGGGAAAGAAGGCCTGCCAGCCGGAGATGGCATGCATGCGGCAGCGGTTCAGGAAGTCAGGCGTGAGCACCGTGTCTGGCCCGGCCAGCAGGAACAGTGTGTCCAGTGGGTGCTTCTTGGAGAGTAGATCCATGAGGCGCAGTGGTGAGGGTGCGGCTGTCTGAACACTGAGCCATGGCACCCGGGCGCCGGGGAAACGCCGCTCCAGCTCTGCCACGTGGGCCTTGACAGGTGCGAAGACATCTGCGTGGGCTGCGCGCTGGGCCTGGCGCGGCTCATACAGTAGCAGCAGGGTCAGGGCTGCCGCAGCATCACCAGGCTCCAGTGCTGCAGTGGCAAAGGCCTCCAGGAAGCCAGGGGCCAGGTCACGCTCAGCCGCAGCTAGAGGCAGGAGCACAGTGAGACGTGAGGCCTCAGTGACGTAGGGCACAGGCAAGATCTCCACGCGGCTCAGCGGCCGGAGCAGCTGTACTCGGCGAGTGAGGGGCCGGCGGCCTCCCTGGGGGGTCAGTGCCTCCAGTTGCAAGTCCAGTGTGTATTCCATACCCCGGGCTGGATCAAATCGTCGGTAGCCATTCACCAGTTGCTGCTTCTGGAGCCGCAAGGCCGGGTGGTAGCGGCGGTTGAGCTCCTCTAGAGCTGTCCCCAGAACATCAGCCACATCAGCCCGATCAGCCCCACGCAGTGGGCAGCGGGGTGAGCCATCAGCGCAGGAGAAAGCGTGCTGCTCTGTGAAATAGTCCCAGCGCAGCACCTCAAAGCGGGAGGCCGGGCGGGATGGTGCTGGAATGCCCACAGGCCAGGCAGCTGCCCGGTCACCATCAACGGCCAGACGGCTGGTATTCTGGATCTCCCACTGGATCAGAGAAACAGGCCATGAGTAAGGGGCAGACCAGAGGAGCAGCACACAGCTGGGGGACTGGGTAGGCAGCAGGTGCCACTCAGGATGGGTCACTAGTCTCCTGCCCACCCAGGGTCCTTACCTATCATTTCCCCAGCATAGCCTAAGAGCCGGGAGGCTCATCAGAGAACATAGAAACAGGCAGGGGCTGGGAAGTAGTTTTGTTCTGTGATTCTAGTGCTAACTTTTCATTTCTCTGGGATCTCTGTGACCTCTCAGATCCTGTGCCCCTCACTCTGCCATCCCCAGACCTAGACCATACCTGTAACTCCTGGATCTCCTGGTATGTGCGTTCCAGTTCAGCTCGGGCAAAAGCCTTGTGCAACTGGTACATGTGCACAGGGTCACGCACAGGGTGGGCTGTCAGGGCACTTCGGAGACGAAGGTCCCCCTCCTGCACTGGCTCCCCAGGGCTCAGCTCCAGATGGCTATAGTGCACTCCCTGGGGAGAGGAAGGGAGGGGATCTGTTATGAGCTGGCATTGTCTTCCATTGTCTCATAGTGAGTATCTCATCTCCTCAGTCTATGACCTGTTGTGGACTTACAGTCTGAGGGTTTAAGTCTACCTTGACCAGTTGTGAGTCTGTGTGACCTTCAGCATGCCTCTGCTAGCTCATCTGCGAAATGGGCATGCGTGACCTTCAGCATGCCTCTGCTAGCTCATCTGCGAAATGGGCATGCGTCCTGTCTCAGAGCTGTCCAAGGGCTAAAACAATAACTAACATCAAATGCCTATTATGTACAAGGCTCCCTTATTTTCCCTAATCCTTGTAACAACTCCGAGCAATAATTATTTCTACTGGCACAGAGGAAGCTACTGAAGCCCAGGATATTGAGTAATCTACCCGGGGTCACAGGGATAGAAAATAAATGTCCGAATTGGCATGGAAAACCAGGACTGTAGCTCCACCACCCCTTTGCCTCTCAGAGGGATTTGAACATGACAGGAGGTATCAGCGGGATAGCTTATCATCCCACCTCATGGTCACCAGTGCAGCCCACCCCGGTGGCATCGAGAATGCAGCGACCCAGCCACTCGTCAGGGCGCGCACTGACGATGTCGTTGCGGCAGCCTTCCAGGTGGGGGCGCAGCTGCTGCAGCAGCATGCGTGAGAGCAGCACCCCAAAGCCTCCGTGGCAGTAGCGGCCGGGGGTGGGCTCTCCGCCGATGAAGTCCTGGGGCCGGCCCAGGTACAGGTGGGCGGCGGAGGCCAGGCTGAGGTGGCCAGTTAGGCGGGCCAGGCCGTGCGCCTCGGTGTAGGTGGTGTCAGGCACCAGGAAGAACCAGTCAAAGTCGTCGCCGTGCTGCTCCAGCAGGTGGCGCAGTGCCAGGTGCAGGTGCCCGATGGGTCGCTCCTCGCCCAGCGTCACCACCGCCATGCCAGGTGGGGCCCGACGGCCCCGTGCGCCCGTCAGGAACACCACACGCTCCAGCCGGTGCCCCAGCGTGCGGTTCACGGCCACGCCCAGGGTGGGTAGCGTGGCCTGAGAGGTCAGCACCGCCACCAGCAGCCTCTGCCTGATGCCCAGCTCCGTGCTGATGTAGCGGGTCCTAGGGGAGGAGATGGCACAAGGTTATCAAAAAGACAACGGGGCGGGGGGTGGAGGGGGGTGGAGGGGGTGGTCAGCACAAACTCCGGCAGGTCGCGTCTTCTCTGCATCTGTGTTCTCACCTATGAATAGGATAAGAATAAATCCTCTCTCCCAGGGGTCATGAGGATTTAAACGAAATGGTCTTACACAGGTAGTTCTTTGCATTTGGGAGATGGCAATACCCACCCAGATAGGAGAGAGATATTGTGGGTCTGACTCCAGGGTTCGCTACTTAGTAGCTATGTCCTTAAGCGTGTTATTTAACCTGAGCCATCTGTAAAATGAGACTGATTATATCTGTTTAATTATATCTGATTATATCTGTCTGTCCAGCCAAATGCTGGATATACCATGTATCTACTCATTTCTATATAAATATGTCATTTTGCCACAAATGCCTCACATAAATGATATAAAGGAACGTTTGGCATAGGGGTGTACTGAGTGTTTTTGCGGGGAGGGGCAAACTGGACTCAGGGGCTCCAGGAACTTACCTTTGTTAAAGCAGAAGGTAAATTGCAGAACCAGCATTTGAACCCAATGTTACTTAGAAATTATTTCAACTCATCAGCAGATACATTAATGGGATGGACGCTCCCTCCCCCAGCTCACCCTGAGGTGGCCCTTGTAACCCACTCAGAACAAGAGATCCAGGTAAATCATAGTTCTCGCCTTTCTCTTTCCCTGTTTCTATACACTCAACCCTATATACAAGTCATTTCTCTAACCCCAGTAGCCCAGCCAGGGAGCTAGTAGGATCTTTGGGGAGCCATCGGGTCGAGTCGGTTTAGGACACAGGCCAGCAAGTTCAGCCCAGGCCGGGATAGGGCCCAGAGAAAGCCTCGGACTGGCCCCACGGCTCTTGGGGAAGGCAGGGCCATCGGAAGTTATCGGGGCCCAAAGACTTCCTGGCTCGCCAGCCCCTTCCTTCCGGAGCCCGACCCGGGCCCGGGCTGCTTCCCCGCGCGCGTCCCAGCCGCTGCCCAGTGGGTGGAGCAGGCGCAGCCGATCACTACCTGACGGCCTTTTTGGCGGCCTGGCCGGGCTGTGCGGGATGGTAGGGCAAGACGCGCGGCTCCCAATTCTCCCCGGCGCCTGCGCCGGTCCCGGGCTTCTCGCGCTCCGCTCCGGGCTGCACTGAGTTGGGCCGTCGCGCCGCGTTGGTGTTGCCGCGCGGCGGCAGCTCAGAGTCTCCAGGTTGGGGCGGGCCTGGGCCGCACGGCTCCTCCACCCAGGTGACGCTGAGCAGGCTCAGGGTGAAGCCCAGGGAGATGCCCACGGCCACGGGCCCTGCGGGCCGCAGCACCGACAGCAGCAGCGATGCCCGCATGGCGCCCGGACCGCGGGTCCCCGGCCCTGGCGAAGCCCCAGAGCAGCCAGAGGAGGCTCCGAGGGGGCGGGACCGGGGAGGGGGCGGATCCAGAGGGCTCGGGTCCCGCGGGCGGGCCCGCTCCCTCCCCGCAGAGCAGAGCCAGCGACCCGAGTCTAATCCCCGGGG